AGACAATGACTGGGATCCAGGAATCTTGGCAAGGACTACAACTGCTTCTCCTTGGAAAGCCATTCATGATTTGCTTCCGGTTTTCTCCCCTTGGATAAGGTATGATCTGAACTCTGGTAATCTCGTAAAATTCTGGGAGTAGCCTTGGGTTGGGGACTCATCTCTGATGGACCAATTTCCCTCCTTATATGCGCTGTCTGACTTGAAGATTGAACCCATTTCTTCTTTCTTAGTTCCTTCTGATTCTAATTCCAGTTTTGAATGGAATCCAGGGTTGAGGAGAACAATAAGGGATACGGATTTGGGCTGCCTGTCGTCTCTACTAGCCACCCTTGAAAATGTTTTCTTGGACCCGAGTAAGGATGACTCCAGAATTTGGACCCCATCCTCCAATGGTTCCTTCTCCTGTGCGTCGTTTTGAGACCTTGGTCCATCCTCCTGCTCCCTTTGGCCTTTCCTTCCCTGTTAATGAGATTTGGAGTAAACCCATTCCTCCTCGGGTTGGTAGTTTTTGCTGGGAAACTTTCCTGGAAAGAATAAACACAACCGACTTGCTTCAAAGAAAGAGACCTAATTCTTGCTTACTTCCCAATAGGTGTATTCTTTGTAAAGCTAATGGGGAAATGGCTTACCACCTTATGGTTACTTGTCCGGTTACTAAGACTATTTGGGAATGGGCTTCATCCTTGTTTGGATGCACTTGGAATCCCCCCGTGAGTTTGCAAAGCTTGTTCTCTCCCTCGTTCTCTAGATGGCTTAAGAAAAGAGGGAAAATCATGTGGAGAAGCATTAGAGCAGCTGTTTGCTGGTCCGTATGGGAAGAGAGGAACTCTAGACTTTTTTCAGACAAGGAAAGATCTATGGAGAATTTAACTGAATTGATACACTTAAGGGTCAGTCATTGGCTGAAATCTTTGGAGCTTTTTTCAGAGTTCTCCATGGTTGATCTTTTGAGAAAGTGGAAAGAAGTTGCTACCTCGTCTCAGTGCAAAAGGACCTCTAGACCTTCTTGGTCCCCTCCTCCTTCAGGATTCATGAAGTTGAATTTTGATGGTTGTAGTTTAAGGAATCCTGGGCCTTCTGGGATTGGGGGAGTTTTCAGAAATGAGGTTGGGATTATTTTTGCTATGTTCTCTGGCCCTATTGGTGAGGGTGACTCTCTTAGGGCAGAGATTTTAGCAGCTTTGGAAGGAATCAAAAGAGTAAGAGAATTAAACATTCGGTGCTTGATCATTGAAGGGGACTCGGAGGTGGTAATTAGGTGGTTGAAGGAAGACACCAATGGTTTGTGGAGCTACAGAAATGAAAAGAAAAAGTTTAAATGGCTGAGTAGGGATATTGAGGTGAAGTACAGYTGGGTGAAGAGAAGTGCTAATTCCATGGCTGATGGGTTAGCCAAGCAAGGGGTGCTTAAGGATTCTTTGTTTTGGGCCACTTTTTAGCTTTCCTTCTTGTTCTCTGTTGTGGGGGAGTTAAGATATTTTACCTCTCCTCTCTTGTACTCAAAGTTTCACAATTTTTATAATTTAATACTTTTAATGAATGTTACAGTTATTGATCAATATAAACTTATAATTTTTTTGGGGTAATTTTTCAGGCTTTTGCTTCTCTTTTTTGGTCCATTACAGTTAAACTAACACCATTAGCCTTTTAAAACATTGTTGGTGAATTATGAGCTCAAGGTACATATACCAACATATATACATTTATTGCATGCATGTATATGTGGAGGCTGATTTTATGGACAATCCAGCAATTAGTTATCAGATATTTAACTTATTAGCTCTCTTTTACTTTACATGTGTCTTGCCATTAGAGTGCATATGCCACAAGTGATAAATTGTCATTATCATTCTTGACTTTTTTCACCTGTTTCGTGGTTCTGGTGTTTCATGAAGATGTTCACATATGGATGCTGGTTTGACTAGATTACCATTTTCCTTATTAATATGTGAAAGAATAGAGTATATACATGCCTGCTAAACAACCCATGCCTGCTAAACAACCCATATTTGGGTGATAGACCACCCAACCCTCAAACAAATATATCTTTGAATTCCCTTCCACTGCAATGTTTCTTAAATTCAATTTCTTACTGATTCTTAGCCCTTGTAATACAATCAACAATTCTGATCTGAATGAGTCTCTTTGTCCCACTAGGCCCTGGTAGCCTCAGTTTGCTTCTTTTTGTATTCTAATCTGGGGTGGTAAGATGTTCAGGGGATTTTTTGTATTGGGCTTCGGGTGCCTAGCCTCTCCTTAGTTTAGATGGAAGCACCCCTTTAGGCTGTATTTGTTTTTGTTTTTTTTTTTTCTTTTTTAATATATCTTCATTTTTATCATAAAAAAATAAAGCTAATATAATCCCCATTGTGGTCCCTAAGCCTCCACCAATGCCTGATGATCTTGGATTTCCTAAGAACAACCATCAAAGTTTATCACCGTCCCAATCGAACCCCTGTTGAGCTCGCCAGGTGTTCTGCAGAGATTGCCGCTAGCAGAGCTGCTCTCCCCTTGGCTTCTTTGGTGCCAAACAGCTTGAAGTTGTCAAACCTAAACCTCAATTGGAGTCTTTGGGGGGTAGAGAAGTCAAGCCCATGGTACTGTAGAGAGATCCATGAGGAGTCTGAAGGTGAGGTGGACTGGGAAGATCTCAGAGATATTGAAGAAGAGGAAGACGACCAACCTTCAAGTATCGGAAGTGTTAGCTCTATGTAGGGTTGCAAAATAGAAAACTTTGATTGTCTGAGAACCAAATTATTATTTGGAGAGGGCAGACACTAGTTCTGGAACTAAAAGAAGCGAGTGTGGAAGAGCCTACTGTGGATTGTGGGGGTTTTACTTTTACAGAAGCTCTCCAAGAAGAGGGGGAGGTAGGAACAGGTCAAGCTCAGGAGCAAGGGATCGGTATTGGGGACTTGGGCCTCCAAAATGACCCAAATCAAGGATCAACTGAGGAACAGAACTGTTTAGTGGTCCAGGCTGTTGCTGAAGAGGAACACATGCCATCAAAGTCTGCCTTTGGGCAGGGATTTTCTCATCCGTTTTAGGGAGTTCCTTCCTCTTCTCTTGCTTCCCCTTGTTTCCCTACCTTTGCTAATTCTCTTTCTCTTTGTGCTAAATCTACTGTTCTTGGTTGTGCATATCCAGTCCTGGAAACTACACCTGATGTGATCTTGGATCTGTGTGTGCCAGAAAAACCAACAAGTGGAAGTGTGGGTATAGGGGAAAAGGAGATTATGGATTTAGTCTTGGGGAATTTAGAGACCCTAATTGAGACGGAAAATTCTGCTGGCAATAAAATGGAAAAACAGGAATTAGCAGAAAGTGAAGCAGAGGGGGAGGGGGAGGTGATTAAAATCATTGACAGAGGAAGTGTTCCTAGAGAGCAACC